GCCTCTGAAATTCGGTTCCTTTGCGTCATCCTTCCGTTGTCGTTTGTGATTTCCGTATGCTACATTATGCTAATAATAAAACACTTCTCTGCGACCTTGGAATATTAATTCTTAGGTTCTGTTTATCAAATAGCTGAAAAATCACTTTTCTCATTGAGTGGGATAGCTTTTTGTGTTGTTCCAGTTTGGGTAAGATCAGATGTTCCGCTCCTGTTAATGTTTGCGGGCATGTAGTTATCTGGTGTACTGGAATTGATTACGTTTAAACTATTGTACTATTCGTTTGTCTCCTTTCATTTGATTGCCTTGGTATGGCTGCAGATCAGTTCATTCTGCTGTGAAATAAATATTAAATCTGTACCTCTGTCAACAGTTTTTGCAAATACTTTTAAATATTCTGATCTCTTTTATGGGCTGAATTGTATTAGACTGATAATAGTCTGGTGCAGTTAGCTCTCTGTTGACTAACAGTCGTTTGTTATACACCTGATTAATTCCTTCATTCCTTTTAGCACAATTTTTTCACTCTGTACATATAGAACGGTTCGTTTTCTCCCACATTCATTTTAAATTTAATAACCCTTCTCTGAAGAATAAATTGTGTTAACCGTCTATTATCTTAGATGCAGAAATTTTATGGGACGTTGCACTCGAACTTAAGTATTTCCATGTTTATGACACTTAAAAAGTAGATGCAAGCACTGCTACAAACTGCAAACATGACGTTCTCTGAACATATTTATTTGTTTCCTTTTGAAAATGTACTGCAGTGAAAGCGTGTTTCGGTTCACGTAGCGTTTTCAGGATGAATAAGCCGAAAGGGGACACGATCCTTCTTTTTGATGTTGATGGCACTTTGACATTCCCACGTCAGGTATGATCATTATGACATTGCTATGGATTTGCAGATTTCATCCCAGATTTTTTCATCCATACCGAAACTTGGTAACCTGACTTTGCATCTTTCACATATTTCTTGGTCGGTTGGTTAGTTTTTCATTGTTTCTGTGTGTCGTTCTTTAGAAAATGGATCGAGCGATGAGTGATTTCATGATGGAAGTGCACAAAGCTATACCTTTAGCGGTAGTGAGCGGTTCTGATCTGCCAAAAGTAGTCGAACAGTTGGGAGAAAGCTTAAAGGATGGTAAAATCTTTGATGTGTACAAGTAAAAGAAAGAAGTTCGGCATCCGCTGAGATTGTTACAGCATACGTTGATTTCACACAGAATTTTGTTTTCGTACAGTTCCTTTCGATTAAGCTTGCTTAGTATAATTTTTACGTTCATTCACCATTCTCTTTGGTTTACATGGTTGTTTTCATTGTTGATGAATTTCTGCATCATTTGGCTTCGTGAAATTTTTTACAGTTCTGAGTTGTTTTGATTACATATTCAGTGAAAATGGACTTGTGAGTGTCAGTAAAGAGGCAACATTTCCTGTGCAGGTTTTTTTTTCTCCATATTTTTACATCAGAGACAGCTTAATCTGTTTGCTTCGCATAATTCATTTTTTAGGAATTGATTACATTTCATCATATCTTAAGAGATGATTCCATTGGTCGCTTTTACTAACACATATTACTTAATTGAGATTTGGCTGCTGATCATTTTTTCTTTTGCAAACTGGAATTGTAATGTTTGCAGTCAATAAAGCATCACCTTGGTGAAAGGCAACTGAAGGAACTCATCAATTTTACGTTACGAGAATTTTCAGCGATCGATTTGCCTGTTAAACGTGGAAATTTCATTGAATTCCGAAATGTAAGTTTCGCGTACTTATTTAATTTACTCGATCCGTTGAAGAGATTTTAATAACTAGTATTTTTGATTCCTAGCAAGTGAATAGAAAGGGGAAGAAAGGAGGATTCACTACAGGAGATACAGAATCAAGGAAATTGGAATCACAAGTAACGCACTGTCTTAGATCATGCGCATTGTAGTAAAAAAGAAAAAAGTTTTGGATTGAAGAAAACTGGCTTTACCATCTACATTAGTAAAGGCGAAAATGATAACACAGACTTTAGGATTCCATCAATGCGTAATCTGTTTTGAAGGGATTTGACACATGAAAGTAAATTTTTGTATGCGTTTTAATTCTTCACACCATTAGACTTAGTGAGTTCTGATTATATGAAAGCTCGAATTTAGGGAATGCTGAATCTCTCACCAATAGGTCGAAGTTGTACTCAAGAAGAGCGACTGCAATTTGTGGCTTATGATAAAGAACATAGTATCCGTCAGAAATTTGTCAAGAAACTTCAGGATTTCACGGAAGGGTGGGATCTCAATATCCGTATAGGTAAATGCTCACTTTCTTTCTTATTTTCATTCCACTCTTTAATATTTATCTTGTAGGTGGCCAGATCAGTGTTGATGTGTTTCCTTATGGTTGGGATAAGACATATTGTTTGCAGTTTCTGAACGATTTCCATACCATTCACTTTTTTGGCGATAAGACTGCACCGGTTCGTCATCATTTCATTTGTGAGTTGATAAGAGACAGAATCCTTTATCCTATGCGTGTACAGCTAATACGATAAATTAATTCTGTATTTGTTTGCATATATTTTCCATGTTTAGGGAGGTAACGACTACGACTTGTTTATTGATTCTAGAACCATTGGATACACCGTCAAAGACCCAGAAGACACGATGAAACAAGTTCGTAAGCTGTTGGAAACTCTGTTGTAGCAATCGCTGCATTCATCTACCTTGCGTTACTGCTGTCATTTACATGATAAAAGTTGAGTAATGATTCCGAGAATGTACTACTAATTTTATTCAAACATTTGTAGTTCTTTATTTCTTGTTTTTTGCGAAGTGAATGTGTAGTAATTAAAATAGTTTTTTTTTAAAAAGAAAAAACCATAAAGCAAAACATTTTCATTTATGTGCGGCACTGCATACAAATACGGCCGAGATGTATTCATTTTTTACGTTGCAATACCGCTCTACATTCACTGTCCCACATACTATACGTAATTTATCGCTGCGGTAATTAAATCATAAATGTTTTGTGATAGTTGGCGGTCGTGCAAGAACTGAAGAGTGAAAAAGTCATAGTCAGCTGCAAATTATGAGAAGCGTTCAGAAGTTAAAACTCTTCAGAAGAATGAAAGGGACTAACGATGCAGTGGCTTGTAAGCGGCAGAGCGAAAATGTGACAAAAAACATAATACATATTGATATAGAAATGTCACGAAAGCAGATATCCACAGCTATTTGGCGACGACCGCTGTGATGATGGAAAGAAGCCGGTTCTTCCAAGTTGAGGTGTTTGTATTATATGTCAGTGACGTCGAGAAACGCTCCGAGCGCGGTACCAGCATTGAATTCTGAGAACATTTTTCTCATGGTTGGGAATTTCATATGCAAGGATTTGACGTAACTTTTGCATTAACGTTCCAGGAAGTCCCAATTTATAAAACTTCAAGTTAATACTCCACTAAGTATTAGTCACTGTTTAATTTTCCCATTATCTCGGGATGTACACTGAGATTTACTGGAGTTCAAATAAGACGGAATCAAGTCACGTCGCTTTCCTTTTATGACAGGTGACGATTTTGATGGACTTAATTAAACAAAGGTTAGAAGTCTCCGTAAAGAAAATTCGATGAAAGTAACAAGCCGTACATTCGTGCAGCCGTATCTTGTATTTCATTAGCTAACAATGCACCGTTCTTTTCTAGAAATGAGGCAAGAATGTAGTTTTTCTTTTCTAAAGCTAATGATAATGTTGTTTGGTTGTCAGCGATTGAATAGCAATTGATATTTGATGAATTCCTAAAATACAAAACTCCCGCTTTTTAAATGATGTCGACCTTTTCATAGTAGATGTGATTATGTTCAAAAGTTTTTTCATTTTCTGCTGAACGTATCCATAACAGCTACGACTAAGAATAAAAGCATAATGAAAGAAAAACGGCTGACTTGAGCATTAAAATGATTGTAGACCAGCAGCCTTGTTGTATTGCAACCATTAGAGGATCCCATCCACGATAATCCCTTATGAGAGGATCTGCCCCGCACTTCAAATTGAAGGCCACCAGCAAATTTAATTTTCAAAAAAAAAAAGAAAAAAGAGACAAATGAGTAGAGAAATAATGAATTCTGAAACAAGTTGCAAATAAATTAAAAAAAAGTACTTTTAACAAATATCGTACGCATTGCACGGCGTTATATTCAGTAGCACAGTGCAGTGGTGTTTGCCCCATATCGTTCCGCATATTTAACAAAGATGAATCCTTTAAATAATACAAGAGCTGACGAAGGGTTTCCTTCTTGCCATCCGAATCTGCCGCCACATGAAGGGCTGTGTTTTTGAACTAAATCAAAAATTTCTATTATATCTTAGTGATTGTATACCTGATGTAACACTCCCACTTCCTTTTGAACGCTCAAAAATTTACTTTGTCTTGACTGGAATGATCAACACCAACATGCAGAAAACGTCGTACAGCTTTTGCACTACCATTTTTTGCTGCCACTAGAAGAGGAGTCTCGCCAAGCTTATTTCGCTTCTAAAAGTCTCACTTGGAGCTTAATTACATTAGTACCTTCTCTGTAATTGGCTGAGAGTATTGAAGTAATAGCCTCTGAAACGAATGTTAGATAGAAAATAATGGAAGAATATTCTGTTATCTTCTTCAATTCTCACAATTTTTATTAGCTCTAAAATGAACACACCTCAGCATTCCATTTGAACAGGAGCAGTGTATTTATGACCTCAACATGATCGCCTGCAGCAGCTAAATGAAGTGCAGTGCAACCCTGACTGTCACAGTCATCCGGATTTACTACTGGATTTGCGTTGATCATGGTGCGTATCGAGATATCTATACCATTCATTGCTGCCCACATAAATGCGCTGTGACCGTTATTTGTACGGACTTCCTAAGAAATTTTCAAAAATGATTCACTTCTAATTACTGCAAATGTGGTGCGAAAGTTGAGATTCTCCAGAGTAAAAAAAAAGAATTCTTGAGATGTGAGCTTTGTATTTACGATGGATATAAATACATCAGTATATTTATTGGCCTTGTACAACAGTCTAAGTGTAGAACAGAATCCACGGATAGCAGCATAATGCATCGGCGTTGCACCGTAACTGTCTTGTCCTCTTACCGACGCACCAAATTCCAAAAGTAGTGCCGCCTGGCGTATTTTACCTTCAGCCGCTGCATGATGCAATGCCGTGCGGAAATCCGGATCCACGGATTTCAACTGCTTATTTAACCACTGCTTAAAAAAATCACCACATCAATACTCTGTCTCTGTCTATGATTGTGCTGTAAATAAAGATGGGCAAGCATGGTTCTGCCGTAATTTCCATAATTTGTGAAGCACTTTATAAGTTCGTTGTAGTATCGTTATATTATAATAACATGAAAGGATAAAGATGATGTCAATTCAAACATGGCGAACTTATTTGGGAGTAAACGACGAATTGACATATGTACATACCTCCTTGCCATCTTTATAAACCAAAAGAGCCTTAGTTAGTGAAACTGCGTCACTGATTACTGAACTCATCAGCGCGGTTTGTCCTAACACATCTCGCAATAGGATCAGCCTAGGACAACACCTCAGAATCACCCTCACTACTTCCAACTGTGCTAAATCAATTGCTAAATGATTTTCAGACCAATGAATTATTGTAAAAGATCCATTCAAAATAAACACTAGTTAGAACCTCGCCTACCAAGCATGAGGAATTCCTTCCGGTACACTGCATTTGAGGAGCTAAGAACTTCTGTGCAAAATATTAATAGAAGAACTGGTGCTATGAAGTGAGAAGAAACCAAACCTTTGTCACATTCAGGGCATTTTTTTTCGAAAGTTTCAATCATTGTCCATTCACCAAGTAAGTACGTTTTTAACTCTGCTGCTTCCAACTTACTGTCATATTCCAATAATGACGGAGAATTTTCAGTGAAACAGGCAAAACTGCATTTCGCTGTCGCCATTTCGTGAAGCACTGTGCCTCTAAATAAACAATAAATAAAATGAAACAAACAATGTCGCCAACTTTACTAACATTACACAGTTGCATGGTAACAGTAAATATGGTATATTACGATACAATAAAGATATTTTACAAAAGTACATTTCTAGTTTCTAACCGCCCAATTTTCCAGAATAGTGCTCGTCTCGATGTTTCTCTAAGAGCAATTGCAATATTAGTTCTCTTCGTCAAATTACAAATTTTGTTAACGATTTTATTGAGATTATCAGTCAGTAACAAATCT